GGGGGGGGGGGGGGGGGGGGTTAGAATACCAGACGACCTCCGAGGAATCCACTGTAAACAGCAAAACATCGTTGTATGTTTCTCTAATGAATTGGGGACCTTGACCGTTTCTGGGTTGAACACTGAAACTTCGTGGCTTTCTTTATTGAGGTCAGATTTCACCTGTAGCGCTTAACTAGTCAAAACAGAGTTTACAGACACGCAGAAGAGGCCAACGACGAAGCGTGTGCAGCGTCGAAAGTGACTAAGGTCATTATTTGGACGTTGATACCACATTGGTGCCAAAACACCAATGGTAGTCATCGACGAAAACCTGAACCAATTCAAATCAAGGAATAATCTGGGAACCACTTGACTATCATTTGATAGGGGGCACCTTAGGAACAATTTTAGGTTGCACGGTGAGATAGCCGGTTCACACAGAGCACTTTTAATAGCAGATTACTTACAAAAGTGAATGAGCAGCTACCTTGGTCATCAAAATCGCCATATTTGAACCACATAGACAGTATGTGGGTAGGTCATTATTCCGAATCAATGGCCTACATGTCCTACAACAATTTGGACCAAATAGGACAGATTTTGACCGATGCCTGGAATGTTATTCCAGATTGAACTCTAAAATCCTATCCCAAGGAATGCCTTGCCACTTGAGAGCGCTGGTAGCAGCCAGAAGAGGTCAGGCGTAACAGCGACCGTTACTGTGACTAGACACTGACATGAGGTTCCTCTGTGGAGGGTGCAACTCTTTTACAGGCAATAATTTGGAAAATATGGAGATCCAAAATATCTCTTTTAATGGTTGTCGTATGACATAGAATAGGCAATGTGTTTTTGTTTGCTTCTCTGGCGAATTCCTTTAATGGACTGATGTCACAATGACATCAAAGAGATTATTAAAAGTTATTAAAAAACGATTTTAATCCTTATTTTCATTTATCAGTCAGCAAAATAGGAAAAAACTGATGAAAAATGATTTGGAAAAAAATATTCCATATTAAATGTCAAGTCTGTATGACAAGACCGGTGTAACTGGAAGAATATGGTTCAGAGTTTGCTTTTGACATTTACGTAAAAGTCTCCAAAGGTTATTTTCTCCACTTTTTGATCGATTTTCTGACCCATTTGTGAGGAATTCAACTGGCAACCGCAAAATGAACTCAATGATGAAATCTCGTTATACATCAACCACAACTGTATTTCATATCAGGTTTGACCTAAATGTTGATATCTAACCCGCCTATTCCATTAACATGATAGAAACAGACAAGTTTCACAACTAAAATACCAGTATAACTGCACGCTCCCATTTCAGATAGGAATTGTCGGTTTTTCGAGGCCTCAGCAGAAAAAGAGTGTTTGACTAATTGGTTTGCAAACGAAAATAGGTAGGTTTTAGACCCATTTTCATCAAGAAAAGTTCTTGTATTAATAGTGTAACGACGTTAGAGTAATCGAAGTTTTGGAAAAATAATTTAAAAATATCCAAGTACTTTCAAATGCAACAAAACTTTATTGATAGGTCTTACGTACGTGACTGACAAGATGAAGTACCGGTAGCTCACATTATCTTGTGATTTAGATTGATTCAATTAAAATCAGGACGTGCGCACATCACCTATTCAATATTACTAACACACAACTAAATAATTGATAAGGGCATACCAGCATGAAAGGATGATACACCTAACCTGACGAATAAAAGAAATAAATCAGGTCATCACGTGAACTCTGAAAGGCACAGATATGTAGACTATACTAATAATAATTAATATCTTTAGAAAATTAGGTTATCACGTGAACTCTGAATGGCAGAAAAATTGAGAATTTCCTAATAACAATTAAAATCTATAGAAAATTACGAACAAAAGGTTTAACTTTTAAGTTTTAAAGCACTGCAATTTGTTTAATGAGCCCTATACAGTTTTTGGATCTAATATAAACGTCGTAACACGCTAGGGTAATAATTTCAAAAAACAAATCGTTCTGTCTTTCAGAGTGCCTATGTGGTCGAATTAACCGGACCCCACGCTTAATGTTAGGGCAAAACCGGCACACCAGGTCATAAAGTCAAGAAGAAGCAGGCATCAAAGTCAGCTCAAGGGCATTGACTCCAGTATTAGAGTTGATAACCAAGTTCCCGCTTCAAACAGGATATAAAGATTACTGAAAAGAACGACTTCTTAAGACAACATCAACTGACGCGATAAAAATGCAACGGAATCACCATGAAGAGATCGGTGCTTATCCTGCTGCTTTTGTGCATCATTTCGACGGGTGAGTGTTGTCAGCTGTCAATTGTGAAAATTTCTGTTAATTATTCATAAAAGAGTCACACACTCAGTTAATGTGATAGTTTCTTTACAACGACATTTGGCAATTAAAAGGGTTATTTTCCCCCAGAAGCAACATTTTCCTCCTTTACTGGATTACATTTCATTTTTATCGATAGGACTTAGAAAAGAAAAGGCTTAGGATATTTTAAAAATCTACATGGGCACAGATGTGAATTGTCGGTATATTGTCAATTAACGTTATACTGCTGTGGGAGTCAAAAAGTGATAAACATTTATATAATAAAATTGTAGAAGAGGAATTTTGAAAATGGTCGGCAGATTTTGCTTTAATTTTCAAGAAGAAAACAATCGAAAAAAATCCACTCCGCCATAAAATTCTTGAAAACATTCTGTAGAAATTCTTTTTGTTAACATTATGTTGCACATTATGCCCATATGATTTCCTCAGCAGTATTCAGTAACAAGGAGACGCTCTCTTCAATTATTAATCAAATATAAAACGAGCTTTCTTGGCGGTAATCAATTGTGCTTTTTCTCCTGTCTCAGAGACGCTTTTAAAGACGAAAATATAGTATATCAACGTTAGCCAATATATATTTTGGGCTCTTGTAACAGAGTAGTATCTTAAGGCCATGAGAAGTAAGCTTGGCTCTAACGATATACCATGCAGCAATATGCTATCAGCTTTGGCTAAGTAGGTCTTAAAGTTAGTGACTCAACTGTCAATCGAGAAACAAAGTGACAGTGTTAAGGCCAAAGATTTTGAATACAGAGAATCAATAGACTAAATTACATTTTAGCCAGATACTTTTGTGCTCTGCTTTTCTTTTCTTCTTCTTAAACATCTTTGCGTTTTTAAAAGATAATTTTGCATCGTTTGCCCCATAATTGCCAGACCCTGTTCTGGTTTTACTTTAGAAACTCACTGGGAAGTTGTGTATGGCAAAAGTGCAGGTTAATGTCGAAAGTAAGCATAAAATAACGGCAGGAATTACCTAACTGCCATATTTTGCATATTTTGTTTAAATATTTTTTTATTGTAGAAATGCCGGTTATACAAGTTCTAATGCTTTTAAGATTGATGAATATTTGTTTCTTATTCTTTTTGGGTACATATATTCACTTCTGGTGTTTTAGCAATTAAATTTGATTTTTTTTATTTCAATTCAACACTTTTACCTTCTGCTATTCTAATGTTATATTTCGATTTATCTTAATATGAAATACGGTACTACTGATTCTTTTCAGTCATTAGAAATAGTGATGCAGTGGCCATTCCACTATCAAAAAAGGCACCCAAGAGGAAAACGATTAAAGTCAAAGTAAAGGGGTCGTCACCAAGCACCGGAAGCGCACCAAGAAGCGAAAGTACACCAAGCACCGATAGTCCACCATGGATTGGCCTAAAAGATAATGGAACAACACACATGTTTCAGTACCTTTCCCTTCGCCAAGTTGACCAAGTGCGTCCATCTGCAAGCCTATCTGATAATCTTTTTAACTTTGCTAAGCAAGGGCTGAGGACTCTTTATGAGAATCATGGTTTAACTTGAATCCTTCAGCTGTGGCCTGCAGTCGAGGGGGGGGTTGCCTCCCCGTTTATTTTTAATATCTTCTGGATTTTATTAACTGTAAGCCTTTTCCTTCAGTACATCGTTTCACAAGTTTGTTAGTTTTGCCTCAGCCACCGTCTGGATGGGTACCAACGGAGGTACATATAAGTGGAATCAAGTATTTAAGAATGGTTGAAAGAGCTATCCTGACCTGGACAGTGTTTTAGAAACAATAGGTATCAGTTCCCTGATTATTCATTTTAACATTTAAAACGGATCTTATCTGGGGTTTCGTTTTGTTTCAATTTTTTTCACTTTATGCTTGAATAAAATGTTAACTAAATCAATAAAACTATTGTGGCAGTTTATTTCTGTAGGATGAGATGGAAAATAACTCAAGCAGTACCTTTTATGAAGTATAATAATAATAATAATAATAATAATAATAATTATTATTATTATTATTATTATTTTAACCTCTAATGATGTACACGTAGAACACAAATAAAACATGTACGTTATTCCTTTGATAAAAGGATAATATAATATAATATAATATAATATAATATAATATAATATAATATAATGAACGGAGGGAGCCTCTTTGGAAGAGTGCTTAAAATCAATATAAGCATAGACTCTTTTTTGAATTAATTAATGAAATAAAAGTAGCTCTAGCACTAAAATGACGTTGCACAATAGTTCACAGATCTGAATATTGAATATTGGTTTCTGCTCGCATGCTCATTTTAAGTTTTCTCTAGCATACATCTAAATATTTGATTAGCGTTGAAGTTACCCATCCTGTTTACAAAGCATATTCTCGTGTGAACAGTGAATGGAGGAAAGTTTCTCTGGTAGGTTGCCAAACATAATCGTCAAATGATGAAATCAAGTTGTTTTAAGTAGGAGAAATCCAATGTCATCGGTGATCGAAAGCGTAAAGTACTATTTCATTTGTTCTTTCAAGTAACAACACCATAATAATTGGCGTAATTTGTTCTTATTACTTATGCATAATTACTTTCCATAGGTAGACGTTTTACGCCACTTTTTTTCCTGGATCCTATACAGTTTTTCTAGATTTTAAATATCTTTAAAAATTCTTATATTTCTTTACGGTTATAATGATATGATCAAAATGTTCACCAAAGAAATATTTGATGACCTCAGCGCCGCAAAAAGTGCTGAAATAAAGCCGAATTTCGAAGGAATTTCAACAAACACGTTGAATTCGCTTCAAAGCACGCTTTTTAAATGGTGGCAGTTTGATATTAATAATGCAACAACATTTATCTCTTAAAAAAGGCAAAGACGTCAGTCTATCTGTCAACTTCATTTTTTGGTCCATTAAAAAGCTAAACATCGGGCAAGCCCATGCTAGAAACAAGGACACGGCCCACATAATTAATCCTAGGCTCACGTGTAGTTCCAAGGCTGATCATGCATCAATGTCAGTTCAAGGAGTTTGCCTACTACATAAGGGTTGATAACCAACCCTGACTTCAAACACGACTCTAAGTTTACCGAGAAGGAAGGTCTTTTTAAACGACACCAACTGAAGCGAAATAAATCTTACCTACGAAATCAATATGAAATCATCGGTGGTTATCCTGCTTCTTGTTTGCTTTGCTGCGACGGGTAAGTATATTCGATATTTAGAAAATGATTTGGTCAACTGTACTCAACAGTAAGTTAGTATGCTCAAAACCATATGCATATATTGATGTTCAAATAGTTTTAATCTTAGAGGCTTGCTCACTGAAGTACAATGCTGTAAAGGGATGATTTTATATTAGTCAGATAAGATTTTAAATAATTGGTAGACTGGCGTAAGGTGTTCTTTATGACTTTACAGTTATTACTCAATAAATTCGACAGACATATTTATCAGCTATAACTCCCAAAATATTTTGGTAGTAATTATAACAGATGTTGACACGATGTACTTGAAAAAACTAATACAGAAATTCTTGTATCAAAATGTCTCGATTAGATATAACATTAGAAAAGAGAAGCTTCCGAAAATTTTCAGCAAATACCGTACATGATGTTAACCACCCTCTCTGATATCCCTGCTTCTAATTTAAGATTAACGAAGAAAACTTACTGGTTTGCCTGCAAGACTCCACTAACCAGTTTCATTAATTGACCCGCCAATAAATTCTTGAAATTAATACTGTATTTCTTCTTCTTTTGTAAATTATGTTCCACGAAGGCCTTATGATCATCTTTGCAGTCTTCAACTAAATAATTAATCGAATATGAAACAAGCTATGCTCATGATGTGACAGCGATTTTTCTGAAGTCTCACTAGGCTATAAAGGTTAGACTCAAACAATATAATTGACATATGAGAGAGGTGATCTGATATCTTCTGGTATAAAAGAATCAAATATATCTAATATAACAAATACTAAACATTCTGTGACGTGATATTAGGCCTATGGTATTTCAATATTATGCCTTGATACTGAACATCGTGCAGTTGGTATTCTGTGGTATGCCTCAATTGCCACAACTGAACGTGGTTAGCAATGCGACATTATGTGCAGATCTAGGGACTGTTTCACATAAAACTTAAAGACAATACTTATACCTAATTCTTATTCGACTGAGGGTTATTCAACCTAATTGCATTTCCTAGATAATTTTGAGTATTTTTCTTTCAAGGTATTTTTAATGGATTGCCCATAACTGCCAAGCTGTAATCAGATTTACTTACAGTGAACTTTGTGTGCCAAAAATGAAGATAAAAGATTTTTTTTCTTGTATTTTGGACACGATCCATGTTTTCTGTAATTGCAAAACGTATTTGTGTTCTATTTAAAATTTGTAGATGTTTTCTATTGTAAAATACTGGTCAAGTTAAAATGGTGCCTTGAGTGTTGAACAATTGAAAGCATTAATGCCTTTCTCCTCGTGTATACCAGTTTTATAGTAATAATTTCTCATACAACGGCTTCCGTAATACAATGGCTTGGGTATATATATATATATATATATATATATATATATATATATATATATATATATAATGGGGTTGTCGAGACGCCCTTCTTACTTATGGGGTGCAAATGTGACCGGATGATAAGTTGTCACCGTTTTCACGCTTATTGTATCACGTGGGTCGAATGAGCGTGGAATATAAATTCCCCGCGCTACTTCTTATACGTGTCATTTCTTCGGTCATTTTTGCCTCTGTCATTCGTCAGATGTACTTTATATTAAATAAAGGAGCTGATATGGAAACTAATGTGCATGTCAATATATATCGAGTTACATTTTTATTTTCGGATATTTGCATTCATGCCTGGCACTGAGTCAATCTTTACACCATTTCCGGTGAAAGTAATGTATAATTATCTGTATTGTGTATATGCCAGCTGTCCCAAATTCGTCTTTCGGCTTATCCTGGTGAGCAATACAGTGCATTTCATTCCTTTTCAGTTATTCTAAATGGTGAAGCAGTGAACATTCCACTATCCATAAAAGCATCGGTCGGAGAGGATGAAAACTTGAAAGACCAAATAGAGCCACGAAGCAGTTCAGGGTCCTCACCAAGCACCGAAAGCTCAGAGAGCTCTGAAAGCCGTTAAATGGATATCGAATTACGCGCATGTATCAGCTTCTTTCCCTTCGTCCAGTCGACCCGTAAAACAATCTGATCAGGTTTTTAACTTTGCTAAACAATGGTTGAGGACTCTACACGTAACACTTGTTTATCCTACGTTCTACCTTCAGAGACGTAGCCTACAGTGAACGCCCCCCCCCTTAGTGGAGGGGTTTGGTAAAAATGACAATATTTAAGAAACAATTGGAAAGCAGTTATATTACTGCATTTATTAACATTCTGAATGGGTAAGATTTGGAGCTTTATGCTCTTATATCTACGGAACTATTCTCATTCACTTTCATAATGTAAAATGATGTTGTTTCAATTTATTACTGTACCTCTTGCTTAAATAAAGTCTTTGCTGGCGATATGCGTTTCAGTGATCGGAATAAAACATTTTAATATAATATAATATAATATAATATAATATAATATAATATAATATAATATAATATAATATGCATTCGTAACAAAGTCTCAGTTTTGTAATTTTTAAAAATAAATTTTCTATCAGGGATTCACCAAGATACTTTGCAGTAATTAGAATAATAATAAAACTGGGAATTGTCGTTTAAATTACCAGCAATTCTTATAGTTCCCAATGGTATGTTGCCCATGTTAAGCATCATTTGACAACTTGGCGAATTCAAGAGCTTAATGATATGAGATTTTTATGGCAACAAAAAAAGCTTTGGGAATAATCAAAACAGGCCCATGTGTCTTAAAAGCTAAGAAAGCGTGATACATAAGTTCTGTAAATAAAGTAAGCGCAATAAGGTTGGCGCCAGAAGAAACGGGATACACTTTTCTGCTGTTCTGATATAGTTATGGAGCAAGCACACTTTAAGCGTCATTGACATAAATCTAAATACTTGATAAGCGTCGAGGTTACCAGTACAAAATGGTGGATAAAGCCCATCCTATGTTATATTATTCACAAAACGAAAACTAAGAAAGTTTGCTCTGTCGTGTTCTTTTCAAATCTGGAGCTGAAGTAGGACAAATTAAATAACAAGGAAACATATTTTAAGTCACATTTCCACCTGAACTGGAAGGCTGACATTACTTTCAAATGGGGAAATCACCTTGTTAAATAGAGTAAAAGAAATTCAATCCCATAAGTGAAAGCCTAAGTTTTTTATTGTGCCTCACTCATAATTAAATTTTATTTACAGATTGACTTAGGCTTTCAATACCATCACGTTCTCAAAGCAATGGTGTAACATATATTGCTTGCTCCCCCAAAAATCTTTGAAAAAATTGA